CACTCCCACCCTCTCACTTTGGACAACAAACTACAGAAATTACACTTGAAATATCAGACTTAATCTCGGATTTTTCCACTCCACATCTTAATACATTCTCTAAAGAATTCCTAATTGGATCCTGTGTGTTCTTAATTATTATAATGTAGTGGCCTAGCAAGCATGGCAAAGTTGGGGATCCAGATTACTTTTACTTACTTAGGCGATCCCTCGTCCGAGTAAGATTGTCCTCCAAGTTCGGTGTCCTGGTGGTGGGTACGTAGGTGACTGTGGAGCCCTATTCTTGACCTGCATGTTCTCCTGCAGTGAGGGCATCGATTTTCAGGTGGAAGGCGGTCCTGGTCAGGTTGGTTTGGTGCGCCTTCCTCTTGGCATGTTTATCTCTTTCGCCCTCCATTCGTACCTCTTCAAATTCTACAGCACTGCTGGTCACAGCTGACCTTCAGCTAGAGCGCTCAAGGGCCAGGACTTCCCAGTTCTCGGGGTCCATGCCACAGTTTTTAAGGTTGGCTTTGGGCCCATCTTTAAGTCTCTTTTCCTGTCCTCCAACATTCCATTTTCCATTCTTGAGTTCAGAGTAGAGCAACTGCTTTGGAAGACTGTGATCAGGCATTTGGACAATATGGCCGGTTCAGCAGAGTTGATGGCAGAGAATGCTTCAATGCTGGTGGTCTTTGCTTCTTCCAGCACACTGACATTTGTCCACCTATCTTCCCAAGATTTTTCGGAGGCAATGCTGATGGAATCGTTCCAGGAGTTGCATGTGACATCTGTAGACAGTCCACGTTTCACAGGCATATAGCAGGTTTGGGAGGACAATAGCTTTATAAACAAGCATCTTGGTATCCCTACCAAGTTCCACAGGCTGCCGGTTTGCTACCAAGCACAATTCAAAGTGCTGGCTTTGGCCTATAAAGTCCTGAACGCCCCGGCCCAACTTACCTGTCCAAACGCATCTCCCTCAGTGATCCATCACAGAGGTTAAGATCTCCTGGGGAGGCCCTGCTCTCGGTCCTACTACCTTCACAGGCGTGACTGCTGGGGACGAGAGACAGAGCTTTCTCAGTGGTGGCTCTTCAGTTGTAGAACTTCCTCCCTTGTGGGATTCGATCAGCCCCTTCCCTCCTGTCATTTCACAAACAAATGAAAACTTGGCTTTGGGAGAAAGCATTTGGCCCAGCATAATTATCTGTGCAATACAGTTGGAATTGACCCTGGATTGATGAATATGATTATTTGACTATCTGACTTTGGATCTATGCACAATAGTTGTCTAATGTTTACATATGTTGTCTTACTGTTGCTTTAAATTGTTTAATTGCATTTAATTGTTGTCATTTGGGCATGGATTAATGCCAATTATGTAAGCTACCCTGAGTCCCCTTCAGGTTGAGAAGGGTAGGATATAAATGTCGTAAATAAATAAATATATTCTATTATTTCTTCTTTTACTGTTATAATTTGTTCGTAGGAGTCTCCTGCCACTTTTTTTTCTCATATCTCAAACATTTCGTAATCACCTACTCAAATGGACTGTCCTGTTCCCTAATTCTCTCCTTCCGTCTATAAATATTTTGTCTTATAGCTCAACTTTGGATCCAATTTCCTGCTCCTATCTAGTTCTGAATTTCTTTTTGCTCTGCAGGATTTCCATCTTCGGTTTACAAGTCCTCAACTAGTCTTTTCCCTCTACTTTTGATTAATCTCAATGTTCTACCTATATTTATGTTGATTGTTGTGATTAATTTGCCATATTATTGCCAACGTATTCTCATTGTCATGACTTAAATTTTCCTGTTTTCTCCACACTCTTATTGTTTCTTTAAACAGTTCCATACATTCTGTTTCCTCTCCTCTTCCATTCCTTAAACTTTATTTCTTTTTCTTTAATATTATTTATTATTTTATCCACATTTACTAATTTTCCTAGTATACTGTTTTTCTAACCATCTTTGAATTTGAGCCATGGCTCAAATGCTATGGTGAGGTGAGCACTCTTTGGCAATCTGAAAGACTTCTATAAAATTGCAGCTCCCTTGATTCCATAGCATTGAGCTATGGCAGTTAAAGTGATGTCAAATAGCATTAGTTCTATAGTATAGATGCATCCAGTATGAAATGTTTGTTAACACCATTAAACAACAGAGGAAAGATTGAGGGCCAGTATAATGTGTTTTGAACACTGGAATATCGAGAGAACAAAGTTCAAAATCCAGCTTGGCCATGGAAACTTATTGGATGGTCTTGAGCACATCACACTCTCTCAGTCTGAGAGCAAGTCAAACCCCTTTTGAAGGAATCTTGCCAAGAAAACCCTGTGATAGCTTTGCCTTAACTTGGAAGGCACACAGCAACAATAGGAAACCATCCTCGAGCAATTCTTTGCCATATGTCTGAATCCTGGCTCTGTTCTCTTTAGAAAATATTCTGTTTTCAAGATCTGTTCCAGCAAGCAAAGCAATTGATACTTGAACTGATGGTTGCAACTTAATTTAAAATTTTCAAAGACTTGGAAAATCATTTTTCCTAGTGGTAATGTTTGCCATTCTACATCTTTCTGTAAAAACTTAAATCCGGAATTTATCACCACCAAAATAAATCTGCACGGGGTATTTTAAAAAAAATAGTTGGGAAAAAACCTAGCTGTTTCATGGAAACTTTATGAAATATACCATAGTCAGCAGATCTGGGACTTAACAGCAAGAAATAATGAGGCTCGAGGATGCATGCAGCAGAATACATTATGGAAAGGCAGTATGAGGTGAATGTGAGGAAATATAGTTAGGCATGCATTGGCCACAAGGAAGCAAATATATGTCTTATTTTTCTTCTGCTTTTAAATCTTATCTCAAGTTAATCATAACAAGAAAGTTCTTCTGACAGAGGCTATAATATTGTCGTCTACATTAAGGTTGTTCAGTAAGGTCAGATTACCTAAAACATTTTTATAGAGAACTGCAGTAGTCATAAACAAAGTGAATTGGGAAGAATATCTAACCTCAGCTATGAACTCAGGTGGCTTTAGGAAAGGCACTTCCTACCACTGCCTTCCAGCTGCAATGAAGTATAGCTGTCATAGTTACAAACATAATAAAAACATATTCATGAAGTAGAATATAAGAGAACATGCATTATAAGTTACACCACACCAGCAGGAGGCAAAAAGCACATTTAAAGGTGTCCCTGTTCAAAAAAAGCCTATTGAAACAAATGTCTGGTTCCTCCAGCGTGATGGAGGAAGTTGACCACAGAGTCACAGTGGAGGATCTAGAGATGCGTAGAGACAAATGTTTTAATCAAATCATTGAATAATCTACAAAAGTCAAAAATGCAAATGTGGAACAACAGCTGTACTTTCCAAACTGCAAATTTGCATTTTCAGAGCAGATGGGATTCCAGACTGGCTCCAGCCTCCAGATCCCGAACTGGCTGTACACTTCCTTCAGAGTATTTCAGGATTACAGTGCTGAGATAGTGCATGCAAAACACTTTATTTTCAAATATTATATAGGTGTAAAGTATTCATATTACAGTATTAGAACTGAACTACTGATAAGTATTCAAAATCACATTCTTTTATGGGAGAATAGCAATCAAGTAGCTTTGAGCATAGTTTGCACTTCTGGTATTAAATATGGGTTTAATCTAGTCAAAGCTAAATATTACTCAAGTAAGTTGAAGGCACTTATTTCAATCATATTTGTATTCTGATAAGTTTGAAATCAAATAATGGCAATTTGTTCTCTTATCTCTATGAGCTTTCAGGTGCTGTGGTTAAGAGTCCCCAGGCGCTCTTGTTGCAAACACACCTGGCAAGTTCAGTCAGTTGAATGTGTTGATCTGAGAGATAGTAACACATGTAGAACTAATATATGCATATTGCTTCCATTTCAGATACCGTTGTTGTTATGCTTGAACTGTTTTGAACAGAGAAGGGAACTTCCATTTTAATACCTAGATACGTTTAGAAGGCACAAGAATATGGACATAAGTGGAGGTCTATGGTAGTTTGCACTGTTGACGGTACACAGGACAGAGTTGGGAAATATGTTATCCTTGACTTTGTTGCCCTCCATCAGATAAGCCCTCCCAAGCTTCTTAAGCCAGGAAATCTCAACTTCCTGGGTTTGTTGACTGCTGTTATTTTGACTATTTGATCTCTGAAGTTTATGGGGTTTAAAATGAAAACTGTAGATGCTTTAATAGCTGGTCTCATGGCTAAGGCTCACCTCCATATGTAAAAGCTTATCAGTAAAAAATGCTTCACATGATCCTGCCGTGTTCATTGGTTTTTATGGAGGGGAAATTACTAGACTAGCACAGCTAATAACTTGATCCTGAGCCCTTAGAGAAACATAGCACTTTTGGAAACAGGGGATCCAAGGCTACCAGTTCTATATCAATGAAATCCCATATGATCATTTCAGTGACCGCCAGGGCAGATGGGTGATAAATGCTTCTTCAATGGAAGAGATATATTTCTGCCCCATCATAACCTCTTCCAGTTAGTGAATTTAAGAGTTTACGTTGCTCTCTTACATGCATAAAATGTTAGCACTAAATAACACAGAAGCTATTTTACACCCAACAGTTAAAAATGCAACCGGGGGGGGGGGGGGCTGTGTTTACCATTAAACCAAATCCACATTTGATTGGCCAACCAAAAGCCACAAGACGTACTACATTAGCTTTCAAAGCTTACTAGCAGAAATGGTCCAGAATATATGAAGGGAAGAAACAGTAAAGAAAGTGTTTGACTTTACATTAATTTAAATGTACTTAGCATTACATTTAAATGTATTAAAATTTATTCTAAAGTGTGAGTGTTGGTTGTAGAAATGAGCCTTTGATCATCATTGTGTTTCCATGTGATATATATTGCTCAATGCTGTTATTTGACACCTTGGATCCTGATGTTTAGAGCACAAGCCTGGCTACTGATTGAGTAGAATGATGTTGTTTATAGTCAACTAATTTTTTAATCTTGTTTTTACATTTAGTGTCTAGAAGAAGGCATTCTTCAGTGTTTCTCCATGATATTATAAACAGCTGGTGCAACAATGGTACTAATATTGGGTCGCAGATTGAACAGAGGGGACAGCAGGGCTCAGGAATCCCCAGTGACAAAGCGTAAAGTTTTTGAAATGGACCCAAAATCCTTATCAGGTCATGAGTTCTTCGATTTTTCTTCTGGATCATCCCATGCTGAAAGCATACTCCAGATCTTCAATGAATTTCGTGACAGTCGCTTGTTCACAGATGTAATAATCTGTGTCGAAGGTAGAGAATTTCCCTGTCATCGAGCTGTTCTTTCTGCCTGCAGTAGCTACTTCAGAGCTATGTTTTGCAATGATCACAGAGAAAGCCGGGAAATGCTGGTAGAAATCAATGGAATTTTTGCAGAAGCCATGGATTGCTTTTTACAATATGTATATACAGGCAAAGTAAAAATCACAACAGAGAATGTGCAGTATCTGTTTGAAACATCAAGTCTCTTTCAGATAAGCGTTTTGCGTGACGCTTGTGCTAAGTTTCTGGAAGAGCAGCTGGATCCTTGCAACTGCTTAGGAATCCAGCGTTTTGCTGATACACATTCTTTGAAAACCCTGTTTACCAAATGCAGAAATTTTGCACTGCAAAATTTTGAAGATGTGTCTCAGCATGAAGAATTTCTTGAACTTGGAAAAGATGAACTTATTGATTATATATGTAGTGATGAACTGGTAATCAGTAAGGAGGAGATGGTTTTTGAAGCAGTCATGCGCTGGGTATACCGGGCTGTTGATCTCAGACGTTCAATGCTACAGGAACTTCTCACACATGTTAGACTGCCTCTATTACACCCAAACTACTTTGTTCAGACAGTAGAAGTTGACCAGTTGATCCAAAACTCTTCCGAGTGTTATCAACTTTTGCATGAAGCAAGAAGGTACCATGTACTTGGAAATGAAATGATGTCACCAAGAACTCGGCCAAGAAGGTGAGTGAGCTTAGCTGATTATTTTTCTGTTATATATTGGAAGTAGTAGTTCATTATTTGAATAAAACATACTGTCATCCCTCCACTTTTGTCGTTTAGACTTTTGCAAATTTTGATTATTTACAGATTTGATTGCACAGTAATGTTCTCTAGGAATCTGTAGGTCCTTCACTGTGACTCTATGGTCAACACCCTCCAGTAATGCTAGAAGACATACAGATTTCTAGAGAGAATATCTTTCTAGAAATTCGTAGGTTCTCCAATGTGATTCTATGGTCAATTTCTAGCAGAAGTTGGCCATAGAGTAATGCTGGAAGACACAGAAATTCCTTCAAAGGTATTCTCTCAGGTACAAAAATAGTTATTTATTCACCTTCACAGGGATCTTGTGTCCCAACCCCAGTGAGTGTGGAGGGCTGACTGTACCCTTTAGAGAGCCAATATGGTGTGGTGGTTTGAGTATTTAACTTAAACACTGGGAAATCAGGTTTGAATCTCCATTCAATCATGGAAATCCACTGGGTGACCTTAGGCAATCACATTTCTTAGGTTCAGAGGATAGCAAGGGTAAACTCCTGAACAGATTCTGACAAGAACAGCACCACCTCACCACTGCCTGTGACAGGGACCCGATCTTCACTGTCATATAATGCTGTTCAGTGACTTTATAATGCAATTCCAAATTGCATTATATGACAGTGTAGATGCGGCGAGGTTCACCTTGCCATATGTCAGAAATTACTTGAAGGCACAAAACAACATGCCTTTAGTCTGCTACTAATTTCATTGTCACATAACCAATTTAATTTTTGTATTATCTCTGTACAAAAGTAGCTTATTTTAATTACTGAGATTCCTGTATATTGTATATCCAAGGAAGCTTAAGCACAATTAAGTCCTTTTGATTTCATATTAGTCTTGAATGTTACTCAATATTCTTTGTGAAATAGACTACCATGGTTACTTCCTCTACAAATAAATAAATTAATTAATTTTATTATAACGGTCACAGACCAGGAATGCAAAGCATTAAAACATTAAAACATGAGATGAGATATATATTCTAGAATTCTTTTTTCTTTCTTATTTCTTTCATGTTTTCTTAATCTATTTTAGCCAACTTTTATATATTACAACTTTTAGATACTTAGGTATGTCTTTCAACAAATAACATATTTGTTTTTCTGTTTGCAGATCAACTGGCTATTCTGAAGTGATAGTTGTTGTCGGAGGCTGTGAACGTGTTGGTGGTTTTAATTTACCATATACAGAATGTTATGACCCCATGACAGGGGAATGGAAATCATTGGCTAAATTGCCAGAATTTACAAAATCTGAATATGCTGTTTGTGCTTTGAGGAATGATATTCTTGTTTCAGGTAAACAAAATTAATTAACACACAAGCATTGTTAGGACATGATTTTGACATAGACATTTGTATCTTGTGTGAAATGGAGAAATGTGCATTTTACACTGAAAAATAAGCACATAAGTAGCTAATCTGATTTTGGATCATATGCAAAACATTTAGTTAACTTGCAGTTTCCACATCATTATATATGAACATTTGGAATTCTGATAAAAGTACCTTTTTACAGAAAAAATATACACGTTTCCACAATTGCTGCTGAGTAATTGGCTGTAACATCCTATATTAGCCAGTGCAAACTGTTTCAACTGTGTAAGTTTTCTGGGGAATGGATAGGATTGGATGTCCCATGTCCAACAATTCTTAGAAGTATGTATGTGTTCATGAGTACGTATAATTACTACGTATTTTACAACTTGAAGTTTTCATGCATCTGAATATGACATTTTCCCATGGTTGGGTGCAATGGAATATATCCCTTGTTTAATTATGGACAAATGGATGTCTTTTTTTTTAATAAGGTGGAAGAATCAATAGCCGTGATGTGTGGATTTATAATTCTCAACTAAACATTTGGATCAGAGTTGCCTCTCTAAATAAAGGGAGATGGCGTCATAAGATGGCTGTTCTTCTTGGTAAAGTAAGAGAGCTTTGTTATTAATAATACTTCTTCTCCCAAACATGACTAAAATGAAATAAAATTTGGAAACTGAATAGCATTCTCATTTTTAAGGATATTTTCTTGTTCCTGTAATCAGTGTTGTCTCGTTTGTGATTTTGAATTTGGACAACACATTGCACATTATGGGTTATTAGTTGAAATGGCATTAAAATGACATTTGTAGTCAAAAAATGAAAAATAAGAAAAAACCAAATTAATTTTTCAGTTTCAACCAATCACAAGTCAGTCAGGGTATGGGCCCTCTCTTATAAGCAAAGTTGACTCTCTCTCTCTCTCTTATATATAGCATTTATTTTGCAAACTATGTGGAATTTAGGAAAGAAGCCTAATCAATGCAATTTCTATATTTTTAGATGTAGGGGAATTTGTAAATATCATAATTATCTTTTCTTAAATTGAGAAGTGTTTAGTCCTAGGTCACAAATGAAACTGCTGAGGCTTTGAATAGCTTCACAATAAGGTTTGCTTAAAAAGCAAGGGATAAGGAAGTATTTGTAACATTTTTCCTTTACTTTTATAGGTTTATGTAGTTGGAGGATATGATGGGCAAAGTCGACTGAGCAGTGTAGAATGTTATGACTCCTTTTCCAATCGATGGACAGAGGTAGCATCTCTAAAAGAAGCAGTGAGTTCTCCAGCTGTTACCAGCTGCGTAGGCAAACTGTTTGTGATTGGCGGAGGTCCCGATGATAACACATGCTCTGACAAGGTGGGATATTCATAGTAATGTAATTTTATGCATATTTAAAATCTGTGTTTGTTAAAAACATCTGGGAACTGCCAGTAAAATCCTTCAGAGTTGCCCTTGTTCATTGCTGCAGGCAGCTTAAAACAGAAGTCTTATTCTTGTTCAAAGCTTGGGAGCAGAATGGTTTTTGGAGAACCCATCTAAAGTTTGTTTGTTCATTTTCACCCTCCCCAAGCAATTCTAAAAGACTGAGGTGAAAGGCTAGATTTCTGTAACAAGGGAATTTGACTGCTGGGCAGTCCTGGAGTATAGAAAGGAGGGAAATCACACACCCATGAAACTGCATTTTACCAATACGAATTCCCACCTCTAGAATCATATAAGCTGTTAGGAATTTGAGAAATCCATTCTTCTGCCCCCACATGATTTTTCTAGCCTCTTATGGTGCCCCCAGAGCTCACCGAGTATGCTTGTTCCTCCTGGCTGCCTACATTGGGTTTTCTTTTAGTTTTCTTGTATTAAATTTGTTTTAGCATATACCTATCCTTCAAGTATGCAGAACATTGTGTGTGGTCCTTTTTTCAGTTAGATTAATACCTCAGGACCACCAAATGTATTATTAGAAGGAACATGTAAAAACCTGAAATAAATTTTTGCAGAGCCAGAGGAGTCTGGGTTCCTGTTTCTTAGCTTTTTCCTCCAAGTTCAGACAGGCAGATGGGAAAAACTATACTGAACCTGATGCTGTTAGCTAGAGGCAAATACAACTTACCAAATAGAGGCTCACCAAATCCAATTAGTCAGTGGTTACATCAAGAGCTTTATGCATTCAATTTGCTCTTTTTCCTACAGCAAAGGTGTGTGTCCTCAAATAGATTGCTCTTATTACTTGCACTGCTAGGACAATATTATATAAAACAGATTTAGTCCTTTTATATAGAAACTGGGTATTTTTAAGAAGTTTAATTTTAAACAAATGCTCCTTCAAAGGGGAGTTCCCTATTTGTTTGTTTTCAATGTGGTCCCATCATGTCATGCAAGCATAGGACTATGTAAACCAGGAATAATCTAGGGCTGTTTCTCATGAGACTCAAGTGCTCTTTTCCTTAATTATCACACTTTCTAATTGAATTGGCCTGAAGAAAAGGGCAAATTCCAGAATTGATAATCTTTTATTTGTCCAGCTATTTGTAGAATAGTGTAAATAGATGAATCTATAGCCGTTGTATTAATTACACTAAAATAGCTGTTCGAATGGAATGTTTTCCCTCTTTTTCAGGTTCAATCATATGATCCTGAAAGTAATTCTTGGCTTCTCCGTGCAACAATTCCAATTGCCAAGAGGTGTATAACAGCTGTATCACTAAACAATCTCATTTATGTTGCCGGAGGACTCACAAAGGCAATATATTGCTATGATCCAGTTGAAGATTATTGGATGCATGTACAGAATACATTCAGCAGACAGGTAATAAAGAACTACTTGCACAATGTGATTTCTTTAAAAATGATATTTTGATTAGAAATTAAAGCAAAGTGATTCAATAACTGTAAATTTGCTCCTGTGAGAGCTGGTCTATGAAAAAAAAAGCCAAGTTCTTCAAACGTTTATTTATTATAATTGATATTCTATTACATTTTCAATTCACGAAATGCCACCGTTTTTGGCTGAATAAGAAAATTATGATAATTATAACAAATCTAAGAATTGCGAATGGATCAGAGTGTTTAGGGTGGGAGGTGCCTCCTTGAGTCCCAGGGATCCAACACCTTAAAGCTGATCAGCCATTTTTAAAATTTTATTTTAGCATTCACTTTGTTTCTACAATATTGATTTACTTATATATGAAGGTATTTTATTTTATATTATTAAAATTAAAGAAAAGTCAAACCAAATAAAACTAGGACTTTATTCCTAGAATCTTAAAATCGTTGGACATAATCATGAAAGCGTACAGAATTCTGTAACTGGGGGTGGCCTGGAAATTATTTGTAGCTGGTTTTACTGCTTTTAAGGGTCAAAAGTCATCTTAATATCTAGTTGCAGATTATCGTTTAAATTAATCCATAATGTAACTGCCTCTGGCATTCTAGAAAATATTCCTTGGTATTACTTGTCAGACATTACCTATACTTCTAAAAAAAAGAGTGAAACAGTTCAATGCTACTATCCCTGAATCCCTGGACTAATAGAGTGTATAACGTACAGGGAAAATGCCTTATAGAGACCATAATGCCTGAACCAATAGTGGAATCCACTGCAGTATAGTTATATCAGAGATATATTTAGGTTCTTTGTTTCCACTGTAAGCATTGATCTTTTGCTACCACATTTCCAAAACCTATGCTAAGTTCTCCAAAAAACGCATGTCTTAGTTTATTTTCTTTTTTACACATTTTGTAATGTATGGCTTTCCACCCTTGCTTTTGTAGCCTTTCTGTTTTTAAACCATAGTCCAGGAGCGGGAACAGCAAAACTCTCCAGATATTGCAATTGCCAGAAGCCATGGGCAACATACCAAATGATGAGGAGTACTAGAAATTGTGATTCCTTAAAATTTTGAGGGCCAGAGTTCCCATTCCTATTGTCATCTACTGAGAATTGATTCAATTTTCGGTGTTCCAGTATCTTTTCTGATTTACTGTCACCTGATAATTTTGTGCCTCAGTTCTTGTCCTAGAAGTAGTATGGTGTTTCTGCTCTAATAAATGTGTCCCATGATTAGTATTTATGTAGCCTTTTCCCCAGATTACAAAGGTCATGGTCGACCATATCAACTGTAGCTTGGAACAGTAATAACGAAATGGCACAAAATAATTATACTGCTGCTCCTTCTGGAGTTTGCAAGTTATGCTCCTAGCTTTGAAGCTAGTATTTGATGATATCTACCAGAAATAATGAATACACAGTAGAACTCACACATTCAGACTGCCGAGAGGTAAAAATGTTTTCAGTAATCAAAGCTACACAAAATGTGTAACCATATATCAGCAAGGAAACCTGAACTAAACTCACACTGAATAGACATCTGTATTAGATTTTATTTAGCATAGTATATCTATTTTAGGGATGTTAACAATATGCATCACTTCCAGCAATGGCATTCAGAGTTTTATGTCGTCATTACCAATTATTTCTTCCATATTTTGAACAGGAAAATTGTGGGATGTCCGTGTGTAATGGCAAAATCTATATCCTTGGTGGGAGACGAGAAAATGGAGATGCCACAGATACTATTCTTTGCTATGACCCTGCAACCAGCATCATCACTGGAGTCGCAGCTATGCCCAGACCTGTCTCATATCATGGCTGTGTGACTATTCACAGATACAATGAAAAATCCTTCAAACTCTAAAAAGGAGGGGAGATTCAAAGTGATGAGTGGCATGTTACAACCTGGACTGCAGAGATTTTTGAGAAAAGGAAAGCACATTTTCCAGTGGCATCTGCAAAGAAAAACATTAAGTGTAAAATACATTCAAAAACAATGTAAATATATCTAATAACTATTATTCAATGCTGCGTGAAATGTTTTTTTCCTGAAAATAACAATTGTTTATATTACTGATTGAATCATGTTCAGTTTTGTATTATTAATTGAAACCTTAGTTTGTGGTGTGGAGCAGCACTTCGCAAGTATTCATGCCTGTTTTTACTGATGTCTTCATGTTTTCATATCTTTTTGTGGTAAGTAGTGTTAACTTTGCTTTTTAAGATAATTCATATACACAAACTATGTTTAAATTGTCTAAAATGACATGGCTTCAATTGCCAAATTGACTTCTTTCATTGAATGAATTAATATTAATATAAGGGTTCTACACTTAAAAAAGGGGGGGGGGGTTCTACACTAGGATTAGCTTTTGTACTCCCACTGCAGCTTCCACCAGAATTTGTGATTCCGCCTTCATCTTGCACCCCAAAAGCCTGCTCCAAAGGGCTGGAAACCTCTCTGGAACCGTTTTTGATGCCAGAGAGAATTGCAGCAGGACTAAAAGGGAAAGAAAACCCTAGTGCTGTCAATACTGGATACAGAAGTACACCACTGCATATTAACTGCCTAGTGCAGCAAAACAGATTTTCTGTTAATTAAATATAGAACAATGACATGATAGACACCTTGCTAGTAAACAATATTTTCAATTATTACGTACCCTAAGTATATTCGGTGAGCTTTAGTGTTACTTTGAAGTGGCAACAGGACTGCTCTGAATGTTTTCTAAACTAAAATATCTTGGCCATTCCTCAATTGCTTAGAAATTATATCTGAAGGGCATCTGGGGCTAGAAGATAGCAGGTCACAATTGCCTACTATAAATCTGTGTAACCCATGCATTTTGATATAAGATTTTTTTGTCACACATTTCTCTAGATTTCTATTGCTACCTTTCACACTCAGATAACTTCAGTTAAATGAAAACATTGTCAGTTGAGTTTTTGATCCATGAATATAATGAAAAATAACCATTTGGACGAATATATCAAGAAACTGACTACTATCAATTTTACTGTTGCCTATTCCATCAAAGAAAGGAAATACTTAGTATGCATATGTCTCTTAACCTTTAGCAAGAAGTTGTAGGTCTATGTGATATGATTAATTGCTATACTTCACGTATAAAGTATGAAAAGGAAAGGAGTAAGAGAAGTAATCTTGATTCATCTTTAAGAATTATTCATTTTAGCATGAGCTCTTATAGGTTTCATTCCACCCTCAAATGTACTGATGGAGCCAATGTTGAAGTCACAGCAGAACATGAGCAGTCATAACAGGCATAGGCCAACTTCAGCCCTCTAGGTGTTTTGGACTTCAACTCCCACAATTCCTAACAGTCTGCTGGCAGTTACGAAGTGTGGAAGTTAAAGTCCAAATACCAGGAGGGTCAAAGTTGGCCCATGCTTGAGTTATAAGGCATAAAATGTATCAGTTATTTCTCTCATAGAAACAGTAGTTCTACATGAAATTGGCATTATATTCCAGCCATGCTGCACATTGCTTTGATCCATCAGCTTCTTTAAATCATCTTCGCAACATCCATATTTTAAACACTTTCACAAAGCCAGTTAAGAAAAAACAGTTTCTGTACATACCTGGGTATTGTTCAAATTGTTATCAGTATATATCAATCAAACAGTTGTTTGTAGTTAGACATTTATGCCAGAATAAGGAGTGATTGCTATCTGTAGGAAATGTACTTACCTTCTATCTAGCTTATTCTGTACTTCCTTGTGTTGTCACTTCCTCCTTTGGACCACTGAAGTGGAATTTGCATGGACCATCACACTAAGAAGGGGGAAACAGCTATTCATTCTGCAGTAACCTGCGTCCTTCAACAGAAATTGTTATACTGTATATTATTTAATCTGAATTCAAGTGTGTTTACCCTTCTTTGCTATATTATTTCTTTTTTATATTGTTCATAGTGAGCTGTGTTAGCATGTTATAGCCTAAAAGATATAAAGGATTCCAACAGCATCTGATGAAGTGGACTGAGTAAAAAAAAACTTGTGCTATACCTTTCGTCCCAGTCCTCAAAGGTGCTACTGGGTTTATGTATTTGTTTTTCTAGTTCTACAGTGCTACAACATAAGTTAGTTTGTGACAATATAAAATATACATATCTGTTCAGATAGAAGTCCCAAGGAGCAGAGTTTGACCTCTCACGCAAGTGTATATATATAGAAACACAGATTTTGTGTAATAGTGCCTGCCTTTGGCTGGATCTACATTGTCCTATATCCCAGGATCTGATCCCAGATTATCTGCTTTGAACTGGATTATATCAGTCTCCGCTGCCAGATAATCTGAGATTGGTAGATAATTTGGGATCTGATTCTGAGATACAGCCTTAATCTGTATCCAAAACTGAATATGCCTTAACCTTCATCCTGATTGTCATCCAGCTGTGGACAAACAGCAAGATGTTCCACAGTCTGATAGTAAAGTTTATTCATATGTGGAATTCAAATACCTAAGCGCCAATATATACTTTTAGCCTTAAGACTGTAGGTTCTACCTCCTCAATCAGGGATCCTGGGAACAACCCATTCCTGGGGAAATCATGGATTTCATATGTTTTTTCTTGCTCAACACAGTTGCACTAATACTCATAAAGAAGGAAAATTCTAAAACCAGCGACAAAATCAGCAGATGAATAATGAAAGAATACTATACCATTGTGAAATAATTCACTCAGGAATCACATATTTTTCAAGCTGAAATCATTTGTTATACGGTGTTACCAAGGTTAATGTGACCTAAAGTCTAAGACAAGTAATTTAAAAGGCTTGCTTTCACAATCTTTAAATGGATGTCTTTCACTAGTTTCCCTCTATCTGTCAAACAAAGAGCCGTGAATGAGGACTGTTGTTACTGACAAATATATACCGTATGTTGCCTTTGTGTTGAGGCAATAATTAGTATAAGCATTGTTGAAAGAAATAGAAATTAACGATAATCTAAGTGAGCTCTGCATTTTGTGTTGTCTTTATATGTTACAGTTATTATTGACATTCATGTATAAAATTGTGCCTATTTTGTAAATACACTCAGTTTTCATAGTCGTGAAATTGTATTCTAGTTGTGGTTGTGATTTTTTTAACAGAACATTTGAGAGGAGGGTTGTTATATTAAGTCTGAAAAAAGATTGATAGTGAAATCATCATTCAGCTATTAATTCCAAATTCAGTAGACTCATCAAATCAATGGAACTGACAAAAGTGTGATTTACCACATTCCTGTTGGTCCAGTGAGTCCGCTTTAGTTGGGACTAATAATTTGATTTAGGCCAAATACTTTAGTGTGCGGTTAAATTTTCAACAAGTTTGGTGCATATATACTTGACAAAATATTTTTGTAGTGCAATGCTATACATTTTAGCTCAGAAATACATACTGTTTATTTTCAGTGGGTTTAGTTGTAAGATTGTTCTACCGTTTCCCATTGTGAGAAAGTATTTGCTCAGCATTAAGCTTTAGAGTGACACCTCTCACAAAGGTATGTTGACCCATGAAGCAACATTTCATAATCCCCATTAACAATACTGTTTAATTTGGGAATATTTTGAAATACTTGCCATAATGCAAAAAGTATATGTTATCTATACACAGTTTGAAGATGGTTACTGGATTTTAGCAGAAGAAATACTTCACACTGGTTTTAAAGAATAGCTCAGTCATACTTGGTCACTGTGAGTTACATTGGCTGCAGTTTTAACATTCTTCCTCAAGACTGTAAATTCATACTGCCAGCTCCATGGAAAAGTGGTAAAGAAATAGGTGTGCCTGCTTTAGACATAGACATGACATGGATTGTAAAGTCAAAGATGCCAGATTTCTGTCAAGTTTTCCATTCATCTAAACAGTTGCTCTGGGAAATAATTGTAACTTCGTTCTTTAAAAGACTCCACCCAAATTTTGAGAAAAGTGCCTTCTTGAAAAATATAGTGCATTCTATTTTACAGTGTGTCATCTATGCTGACTTTTAAGCACCATGAAAATATTTTTGCAAGGCCGTAAATTCGATTTAGGGGTTTAACTGGGGCATACAAGACATTGGTGTGATAAGTTTTAAATTACATACAGATTAGAAGCATTCAAATAGGCCAACATTGCTTCCCCATTCAGTTAAACAAATTTCTGAATATTTGTCAGTACTACAAGAAAAATGGCAGCTAACCTCATATGAAGCCCACCAGGTAAGATCTTCCAGTTATACTTCAAAGGTTTGAACTAGTGAGATAATATTAGTCAAATTATATTATTTTTATTGATATCCATTACGAACATATTGACCTACTTAATTTTAAGATCATTTTTTTCCTTTCTTATACTCAAGTGCATGAGTTGACATTCTAATGTATGTATTTATAAGTATGTGTGATTTGTTTTCATGACAATTTATCAGTGATTCGCTTAAAGCTACTGTGTATGGTATGTAGCAGTATTTAAGTGAGGGTGAAAAGCATGTGAATGTAGCTCATCCAAAGAATAGAACTTGTATGTTTTTAAACAAATCTATTCTTACTGTAATCTCTGCCAAAACAAATCCTACTTCAGAATAAATGTTGCTAATTTGTATCATTTTGATTTGCATTCTTTTTACTTCTTGAGAATTTAAGTTTAGGCCATTCAAATTGAGATTCCACAAGAAAACCTTTCTGTGTTTGCAGAAAGGAACATTTACTTTCCAAATGCTTAAAATGATAGCTTCTGCAGGGAAAATGCCATTTTCCAGAGCATGTTATGCCACTGTGAGTGCTGTGAGAACAGTTTGACCCAGGAGAAGGATACAGTTGCTTTTGTAATCTAGCCTTCTGTTTCCACCTACAACTAGGTAATTATGGAAAGTCATAAGGAAAGTAACAGACATGAGAAATTTTCAACTAAATTCTGTGCTATTGTGAATTCTAGACTATTTGCTGAAAAGTTTATAACGGCACTAAAATCTCCATTATTTAAAATCAGATTAAGCAATATTCCTAACGATGTGAATTCAATGTATATTCCTTTTGGAAAGCTGGCCTAAGTGGTCTTCCCTCTCTTTAGTACATTCCTGAAAGCATTAGAAGTAATTATACATTTATTAAGATTACATTTCACAGACTGCTGCTTGAATTTTGTGCTCATGGAGAAGTTCAGCTGACCAAAACATTTCCCGTATAAACCTCACAGAAATGAATAAGGGTCTTATGCCCACCAATCAAGCAGAGAAGTGGTGGAATGGACAAGGACCTCTCCAGATCATTTGGAGCTCTAATGGGCCCATAAAGGGAGGCATTTTCCT